GGGCCTGGGGCGGCCAGGGCTTGTTAGCGGGGATGGTCAGTGACCCGAGCGGGAGTGACATAGGGTCCCGGAGCCTCAAATCACGGTCTGGAGGGCGTTCTCGGGGAGGGGGTGCGTCTCAGCCTTCGGGGCCCTGGGCTGAGTGCGGTGACAGACGAGGTCCTGGGACAGGAGAAGCCGAGAGAGAGTGACAGTGAACACGCGGCCAGTGGCCCCGGAGGCCGGTCCTGGAGCGGAGGCCAAGGCCCCCCCGGGGGTGGGGGGTCCCCTCCCACAGCGGTGTATAGGGAGCACGGAGGCCTAGTGAGGACAGAGGACACCGGACCCGCCTGTCTCCCCAGCAGTGACGCACACGTGGGTCGGGACCAGCCTGGAGCTGGGCGGCGAGAGGAGAGGTCTGAGCCCCAGCCTGGCGGGCTCCAGCGGTCAGGTGACCAGGCTTCTGGGGGCTGTGGCACATGACATGTTCCCCTGACGAAAGCCGCCGTCGTCGAGGCCCAGAGTGTGGGAGCTCGGGGACCAGAGCCATGTGCTAGATTAGGGGAGCCGTTCTGGGAGCTGGGGGTGTGTTGCGGTGACCGAGCTCACAGCACCTCAGGCAGACGACACGACTCTGGGGGGGTGGAGGGGGGCCCGTGCTCAGAACTGAGGTGTAAGCATCGGGGACGTGTGTGTGTGGGACCTCACCTGGTGACAGCTTCGTAACCTGCAGACCCCGGTTGCCTGAGTCCCACTCACTCACGGCCATGAACAGACGCGCACCGAGGCCTGACCTCAGACTGTGGGTGATGAGTGACCGCCGGCGACGTGACTGAACCCATACGGTGATTTGACATGGCACCTGACCGAGGTGATGCCCGTTCATTCCTTGAGAACTAAAATGTCATTCAGACTCTGGTATTTGTGGCTCGTGTCGGTCAGTCCGGTCGGCGTGTGATTTGCCGGAGCCTGAGAGCGTCTGCACCGACTCCGATTTCGCCGACGGTTCCACGCTGATCCTGCAGCCATGGAGGGAGCAGGAAGGCTGGCGTTGAGGCGGATGGTGGCCTCCCCCGCCGCCGGTGGCGTGCACGCGAAGCACCGGGGTCATGTGCTTGGGGTCAGACGACCTTTCATTATTCCAGTTTAAGCCCAGGTTTTCACTGTTTCTAATTCAGTGTTTGAGATGAACCGAATTCCTGAGAAGCAGGTGAGCTGCGTGCGGACTGTTTCACTTCTGTGCCTGGTCCTTTCGTGGTGGTAAAGTAGCTATTTTTTGTCACGTCAACAGGTACATCTTTTGAGAAACGCTGGTGATGAAGTGACCGTCACTGTCCAGTACCTCCAGGAAGCACCATCGTTTCTGAAGCTTCCGCGAGGTAAGAGGCGGCTTCTAGGGGCGCCCGGAGCCCCTCCCTCCCTCCCGCGCCCCGTGTCCCCCTGCATCGCACCGGCAGGCGTGCGGGTCACCTCCCGAGCACCCCTTCAGAGAGGGGCGGCCCTGGCGTCACGTGTTCCTAAGACAGTCGTGTTTTAAAGCATCCGTGGGCTTCTCAAAGAGAACGCGTCATCACATGGCCGTTTTCGATCAGTTAACGTGTTTCCTCTTCACGTCGACTCGCCGATTGTATCCGCCTCTCCGTACACACGTGCGCGCACTCGAAAGAAAAGCGCGCGTTTGGGCCGATGCTGACGCGAGACACTTACCATAAAGAAAGGGGGGGCGGCAGCGCTGCCGTGAACGTGGGGCGAGCCTCGCTCAGCGCTCCCGCGTCGCTGGCGCACGTGGCGTGGGACCCCGGCTGCAGGTGCCGAAGCGCAGCCTGCAATGCTGATCTCGACATTTGCTTCCTGTCTCCAGCCCTCCTGGTTTTGTGAACCTGACGGGTTCCCTCAGGGCTTTGGTTCAGCGAGGTGGGCCCAGGCCTGCCTGTCACATGCCAGCCCAGTCGGGGTGGGTCGGACCGGCATGCGGGGAGGGGGTGCAGGGCCTCCAACGAGGGGGGTCCCCGGAGCGTCTGCCCAGGGAAGCTCATTTGGAGACTTTACCCCAGAAGCCTCCGATTTTTCTAATTCGCCAGAAAGACAGAAATCTGGATTTTTACGTAATGTCTTATTTTTCTCAAACAAACCGGGGCGGTGGGTCAGAGCAGCCTGGCCTCTGCCCAGGGCGCTTCACCCCCAGTGGGGGGCTCCTGGACCGTGAGGGGAGATGGCCGGTCCCCCCTCCTTCCGATGCACTTTGTACCTGACGCCAGATCAAGGTGAGGCGGGCAGGTGACAGCGCAGGAGCGAGGGGCCAGCGTCGGTGGCACGGCCGTGGCAGGGCGCCCGCTTTTTGGGGGGCTGGGCATCATGTCCGCGGGGCCCTCCCTGGGGCATCTGCCCAGTGTCTCTGCTCTGTTCCAGGGTCCCCCGGGCCGCCCAGTGACCACGGCAGCGGGACGTCCTCGCCCCTCTTTGACAGTGGCCTGCACCTGAGCGGGGACCCCAGCCACACGGTAAGCACCCCCTCACCTCATCCTCAGGGACAGCAGCTCCCCACACTCTGGGCAGAAGGAAAAGCCACCGTTGCACTGGCCAGCAAAGGGGCCCGTGTCAGAGCAAACCCGAGAGCTGGGTTACGAAGCCGTCCGCTGGCGTTCACTCCACGTGGGCCCCGCTTGGCTCGTGGGCCCCGCTTGGCTCGTGGGCCCCGTTTGGCTTGTGGGCTGTCTCAAGTTCCCAGTGCTGGAGCTGGCCGCAGGCGGGGTGCTTCCTGGTGAGGGGTGGGGAGCTGGCCGCAGGCGGGGTGCTTCCTGGTGAGCGGGGGCTCAGGTCGTGCCCCTGACTTGCTGGCAGGGCGACCGCAGGTGGTTGCCTCTCCCACGTGAAGGGCGCTGTGGGAGAGCTCTGAGCTAGTCCACAGCACCTGGGAGGGATGGCGCCATCTGTTGGCCGTGAGTTTTCACCGTGGAGCTGAGCGGAAGGGGGAGGCTGCGGATCAGGTGGGTCCCAGACCTCCAGCCGCCCCTGTGGGGAGCTGGCGACGGGGAGCGGGCAGTGGTCAGGAGCTAGAATCCTATGCACAGGTAGAAACCAGGCCCAGCTGCACCACTGATCGACCCGCAGGAGCCTGGAGAAAAGATCTGTGTTTGTGTAACACGTTTTTAAAATACTGTACTTTCTCATTTTTAACCTTTTGATAGAGTTCTTCATATTTAAAAATTGCACGCAGTATCTCTGTGAGTTCGAACGGAAATAGTACAACTGTCTATAAACCCACAACTCAAACCAGTTGTTAGAATATTGTCCCCAGCTTATGTCTAGTCACACGTCATTTATAGATCCCATTGTTTGGGTTTTCCCAGAAATAAAGTGTCCTGAATGTTGTATTTGTCATTCCCTTGATTAAAAAAAAACCAGGTTGACATATTCCTAAACTATACCACTTCATTTTATTTTGAACTTTATAAAATATTCTGTGATAACCTGGGGTTTACATTTTTACTTACTATTATGTTTTTAAGACCCACAGATGTTGCTGTGTACGGGCCTAATACCTATATTTGCTATGTGATATTCGTGTAAATACACTGTATTTTATTTATCAATCATCAGTCACCAGCAGACATTCGATGTCTGTTTTCCGGGTGGGTTTTCATTCCCCAGTTTGTTGTCATTGAAATCAAGGCTGTGGGAACAAACGTCTCCCGGCCCCGGACGCCTGGGAACTGGCCCCAGCGTTCGGTTTCCACAGAAAGGACGACGCCCTGTCGTTCACTGCCCAGCCGACCCACGCTGCCCTGTGCTGGGCACGCGAGGGTTTAACATCCAGACGTTGGGTGGCTGTAGAGGGCCATCCCCGGGGGTGTCCCCGTTCCCGTCGTCGCTGAGGAGGCTCCCCGTGTTTTGTCCTCACGCTGACGCGGCCGCGGTGGCAGAGCCTGGGGCTCTGTGGAAACAAACCGCCTGGTGTCAGGGCAGACAGCTGGCCAGGCCTCGGAGGGACGTTTGCAGGTCCCGGAAGCACCGCGGACACCCGACGCCCCCTTCAATGCTTCCGCGGACCCCCAACGCCCCCTTCAACGCAACGTCTGGAAAAGACGCTTTCTCCTCCCCTCTGGCAGCTGTGGAGGAGGCGCCTGCAGTGGCCTGAGGCTCCCGGCTGGGCGGTGGCCAAAGGAGAGGTGACTGGAGGCAAAGGGAGGGGGATCCTCCGCTGACGGTGACAGCCTGAGGCCGAAAGGTGCCCGCCTGGTGGGCTGTGAATGCAGCCTGATTTTACAGAGGAAAATGGTTTTTCTTAGTGGGAATTGCTTTTTATCCTACATTTTAAAAGGACATTTAAAATATTTCTATCAAATGACCCATTTTATTTTTTCTATTTAAACATTGTATGTTGTATTCTGGAATCCATTGTGACATTTTAAGTGGTGATTTGGCCATTCCCATAACTTTAAAAACTGATGCACGTTGTAGCTCACGGGTTCAAAGCCGTGACAGAGGAGGTCACTGCTCTCAACAAAACGCACGAGCGTCACTGCTCATGAACTCCCGTGTCAGAAATACAGTGCCGTGAAGGCAGATACCGGCGACAAAACCCGATAGACGCCGATAGTTAAAGACGTGTCAGCACACACGGCCGATCGTAGTGGACTCGCCCGCGGACAGACGGGCGGTCGGTGAAGCCAGCAGAAAATACCCAGTGCGATAGTGAATCTGAAGGCCATCGCTGCTGTGCTCGTGTGTGCGCCAGAGGCACGTGCTTTGCCAGGCGTTAGAAGGTGACGGAAAAGGGTGACGACAGATGAATGTTAATAACATGCACCTTAATCCCTAATGCTACAGTATCGCCACCTTCGCGTTTGAGGGACTGGCACGGAGTTAATAAATTAACTGAGATTATGAGGAGGGGACACACACCCACTTCCGGTCCTCGAGGTCGGGGCGTGGGCAGGGCTGCCCCCTCCGAAGGCCCCGGCGGCGGCCCCTTCGGCCCCCTGCAGCTGCCAGTGGCCCCAGTGGCCTGCGTGTGGCCTTCGCTGGGCCACCGCCCGCTGTGGGCGCAGATGCGATGGCGCTTGGGTGCACCTGGCGCTTGGGTGCG